TCTATTTCTTTTATTGACACTTAACAAAAACGTACGTGCAGACGTGAGCAAATTTCAAGCTAAGCCAGCGGCAATAAATAAACCGCCATCTTTGAGCTTGACACGCCTCGAGTCACGCAGCCAGTCACCTCTTTGTCTTTGTAATACTTTTCACTGCTGCGCTCTGCTGTGCCCGCTCTGCTTGCAGTGTGGCCCGATTCTTATGCAGTTGCGAGCGCCGAAAAACCTCTAAATCTACTAAAACTAAGATCTTTTTAGCTTTGGATGATTCACCAGGTGTTACAGAGGGTGAGCTGTGTGGAGCAATATAAAACCTTATTGAGTCACTTTATTTATTTTTTTTTTTTAAACAAAAATGTTGATGCGAGTATTGATGGAAAGAAGAAGAAAAAGTTTACGACCAGAGATGTATAAAACACAATTTGGCATGTATTATTCCTGACGGCGGTACTCGTAGTGATATTTTTAAATGTTCGCGCTAAAATATTAATGGAAAAATTAAATGCATTGAAGCACAAAAAGATCTGCATGTGCGCATCAGTGATTTCTTACAGGTTTTTGACAAGATTATGTACGGCTGATTATTTAAAGATCATGGGGGAGCTAGACCGAAGCGGATAGGGGAATTTTAAGAATTTAACCATTACTTGTAGTAAGAATCTTTACTGAAACCAAAGTGCTGTTGTCAGAATCGAGAGGAGGGTACGGCGAATAGGTTCTTTTGTTTTAGTTTTAGTAAAACTTTTACGGCACTTGCAAACACATACGTATATGTTGGTCGTATGAGTGTTGAAGATAAGATTTGCTGCTAGAGAATGACGTAGTACAAAGAAAAGAAAGGGAAAGAGATGAAGATGATAATTATTGGTGTTTGATGGGAAAGAAGGGCCAAACCAAATCAGACACCCATCAACCACCCAACACAGCGAATTACAGAGTAAGTCAAGGCTGGGGTTTACGGTAATAAGATAGATAAGATAAGGTAAGATAAGGTAAGATAAGATAAGTTAAGATAAGATAAGATAAGATAAGATACGATACATCATTACCGTCAGATCCTAGCACATTGGTTTGATGTTTCACCACGCGCGCGCGCGTGCACACGCACACGCACACGCACACACACACACACACACACACACACACACACACACATACTCACACACACACACACACACTCGCATGCACACACATACACACACACACACACACACACACACACACACACATACACACGCACACACAGACACGTACACGGAATATCAGCGGTGTGAGATACAATGGAAGGTGGGAATTCTAGTCCTTACTATCGTCTTTTTCCTCTACTTCTTTTGTATGTTTGTCACACTCTTGTGACCTGCTATTTCTGGGGTGCCTTGATAGTCGAAGCAGACTTTGCGCTGTTGAAGCTAGAGAGGTAGCAGAGTATAGTCTGATTCCCTGTAAGGACTTCTCTGTTGACACCCACCCCTTGGCGCTCATATGACCTTATGCAGTTGCAAGTGCCGTAAAACCTCTACTAAAACAAAATTTAGTTAAAGCAGCCTGCCTCCTAAATGGTCCGTCATCAGCTGGTTGTTGTAGTGTGTGATTGTCTCCATCAGCAGCTGGTTGGTGTAGTGTGTGATTGTCTCCATCATCAGCTGGTTGTTGTAGTGTGTGATTGTCTCCATCATCAGCTGGTTGGTGTAGTGTGTGATTGTCTCCATCATCAGCTGGTTGGTGTAGTGTGTGATTGTCTCTGTCTCCATCATCAGCTGGTTGTTGTAGCGTCTGATGGGGTCAGCAAGGCTGCTCCTCCTACCTTCACCAGGCTGTACTCCTTTCTCAATCACAATCTCCTTCGTGAAAGAGTCCTCGTCACGGCTGCTGGCTAGGTGTTCTTGAACAAGGGCTATTGCGTACAGTTGGAGGGTCAAGGGTAAGCACTCTCTCTCTATGTTTGCGGAGCCTGCTGGCTTATCTGCTCTTTCACTTCCCTTGACTCCTGCATGTCCTGGGCAGAAGACCCGCCGCAAGTGTCTGATTTTGCTTTCTTGGATTGTCTTTAACCAATTTGCATAGAGGCTGCCGGTCATGATCTTCTCCAGGGTACTCATTGAGTCTGTCACAAAGGTATCCTGCTGGTTTCCATTAGTGCAAAGCCATTTCAGAGCCTCAGCGATGGCCTCGACCTCCATGCACATGCTTGATGTAGTGGGGCCCGTTGCTCCAGATGCCTCCTGGATTGTTACTCCTTGGCAAGATGTCGTGTACGCCCGGCCTGATTTGATCCCACGCTGAACAGAGCCATCAGTGGAGATAATGGTTTCATTCCCTCTTCAGTTTTCTTTAATTAGGGTGTGGATTTCCGCATGTGTTGCTCCTTCAGGCAATTCACGACATTCGCGCCCCAATGTAGCAATCACCTGAGTGACTGTCTTTCATCTCGTCCGCTAGCTGTACCCATGTCTCCCCTCGTCTGCTAGCTGTACCCATGTCTCCCCTCGTCCGCTAGCTGTACCCATGTCTCCCCTCGTCCGCTAGCTGTACCCATGTCTCCCCTCGTCCGCTAGCTGTACCCATGTCTCCCCTCGTCTGATTGCCTTCAACAGTGAGACCCCTCTCTTCAATGGTTTGCGCTGCCTGGTTCATCCACACCGTGTGTGTGTGTGTGTGTGTGTGTGTGTGTGTGTGTGTGTGTGTATATGTTTGTGTGTGTGTGTGTGTGTGTGTGTGTGTGTGTGTGTGTGTGTGTGTGTGTTTGTGTGTGTGTGTGTGTGTGTGTGTGTATGTGTGGTTGGATATCCTTGCGGATTGTTTGGAACCCCGACGATCTCCAAATCTTGTGGCGCCTCTCTGCACGATGGACAGATTGTTGTTGTTGTTGGTAGTGGTGGTGTTGGATGTTGGGTTTGTTGATGTTGTTTCACGGGTTTCATTTCTTTCTTTTTTTTCTCAATTTCGTTTTTTAAGAACATTTGAAAACACGAGATCTGAGTCTCACAGTGTCATGTTTTCCAATGAGGTAGCGGCCCTTTTAACATTTTGCGAATGATTGGAATTCTCGAATTTCTTTATGAATCGCGAAGCAAAGTCACTCGAGACCCCC